CCCCACCCCCCCTCCCAAACATTCCTTCTTGCCTCTTCCTGCACACTATAGATGTTCTCTGATTTTGCTGCAAACTGTTGCCCTGATGCCCCAGCCCCTCACCTCTCGCTCTGGCTGTGCTGTCTGGGGCGTCCGGTGCCGGCTGCAGGGATGAGCTCTGGAAAGTAAACACCACAGAAGACTACATATTTAAACTCAGATGTTTAGCTTCCAGGGAAATTTTCAGCAGAAATGTCGGATGTAATCGAATCGTTGTTTAAAATACCTGTCAAGACTTGACTGACTTTCCAGACAAGTGGCACTTTTAGAGATTTACTTTGCAAGGTGCCAAATACATAATTTCAGAGTGTAACTTGCCGCCCAGTACTTATCTTAAACCTTTAACACAAATACTTGGCAAACTGCTATCTTGAGCTGTTCTACTATTTATGTTCCTAATTTAACGGTGTTTACTATAGCCTCTGGCACTCTTGACTGTGTAGGGCCTTTTTCATTACATTATGTTTTGCTTCTTGTCTGAATCCCTGTTTAATACGCTCACTATCGCAACCTGCCAAGGCTGTTCTCCAGCTGCCTTCCGACCGTGCTACTGCAGTTCCCGTGTCCGTACCAAAACCTGGCAAGAAACTGCCATGGATTTAATTCCATCAAGGTTCTCTCTTGTTATGAGTGAGATAAATATGATGTTAAAAGTTTAGATGTGAGAAAGCTGAAAGTTGGCGGAGTGTTTTAAGGTGAAATAGCCTTTCTGGCAGCTGGCTCTCTACTTTGATATCTACAGTTCATTGCTGTCATTTTCCACACTTACACTCCCATTTGGGGAGGATGCTTTCTTCAAACAATCTGCAGTTGGTTTCTGGGCATTAGGTGCTACACAACCAAAATACGTGATTGCTGAGAACCACGTTTTCTTGGAAAAACAAAAGGCAGAACAAACAGAAGGTCAAGAAAAAAGCAATAGCAAACAGTTAAGGTGGCCTCTGGATCTCTGGTCAAATCTGGTAATACAGATTTGTATTACCATCACTTGCTTTCAAATGTAAAGCAGCTCTTAGCTATCCATTGTGTATAGGCTATAGGATGTTTACTAGTCTTTTCCCTGCGAGATGAGTGGCTATGCCATGCAGCAGTGATGGTATGAAGGATGTATGGGGGGTTTCCATACATCCTTCAAAAGCGAGGGCATCTGGGGACCAGCGTTACAGCGGGATGGAGAACAGCAAGTGCTGTGACCTGAGTGCCACAAAATAGGTTTTGGACAGAGAAGCTGGGCAGAATATCAAGCCTGGAGAACAAAGATACGTCGCAGTCATCTGCGGCCATGCTGTGGAAGAGAGGTGCTGAAAATACTCTCTCTCACAACAGAAGGTGGGACATGCTGGCCGCAGCACGCCAGCAGCAAGAGCCGGTTCGCACTGAATGAGCATCTCAGAGCAGCCACTTCTCTACTGCTTTAACACTACGCGCCCTGTCCGAGGACTGCCGTGGGCAACGTGTCATTCCTGGATTTCGCAGGGCATCCTTTTCCAAGCAGTTACCCTGGAATGAGACCTGACTTTTAAGAAAATATTCCCATGGCAGGTTTTTGTATTTGTTTCCATTTCTAAGCATCTGCGGCGCCCTCTAAAGGCAAGGCGCCCCGCCGTGTTGAGACACTGTACGCTTCAGGTGTGGAAAAGCAAATGCATTTGGTGTAAATAATAATGAATTTACATCCATGGCAAAGACATCCCTGAGACAAATCCCTTCAGATGTCCTGCTGATCAGGACAACATAAAAGCCTGAGTAAGAATATATTAATAATACAGTTTAGGTACATTTTTCTTTATAATCCATATGGAGAGAAATAACTTTGCAATATACCTTATGTCTATAGACACAGATATGTATATATTTTTCCTACTTGAATTATTTCTTCTTAATGAAACTTTTAAGCTGCAGACAACTATTTCTTACGGGTCCTCTGCATTGTAGTTTAATCATTATTCCAGCTTATCAAAAAAAGTCACGATGACCTTTTGTTGCTGCATTTTGTACCTCTGTTGGCTAAATGAACGTCTGCTTGGAACACACCGAGATCAGAGTATTTGGGAAAAAAATAACCTTCGTGTGGTGGGATAATAAGGGCCACATTCGCAATAAAATGATCAATCTTGATCCTTCTGAGAATCGGTGACTCGGTGGAGGCTCTAAGGCAAAGGCAGTCTCCTCAAGTAGACCTAGGGTGGTGTTTTGAAAGCCACTTCACATCTTCAAAGTTATCCTGATGCCCTCCAACATGAACATTCATGACTTCCCAGAAGTATTTGTGGCATTTGAGAAGAAGTTCAAGCGATAAAGGCGCTCGGCACAGACATTGTCTTGCTCTTGTCAAAGCGACGCTGCCCTACCAGAGGGCATGACATCTGCTCTGCTGCGCATCAAGTGGCGCATGTAGGATCCTTGAGAAATGCCTTTGCTTTCTGAAAGTTCACAAATGACCACAGCTATTCCTCACCATTCTTATTTCCGGCACCCAGCTCTTGCAGCTTGGTGGCTGGGGTGGCTGCAGGACGGAAAACGTGGATGCTTGCTGAGAACATACGTAAAACCTCTGAGTCCAGAAGAAACAGGGAACACTGCTCAGAGCTAGACAATTAAAACAAAAATCACAATAAAATGGAAAGCAATATAAAAACTGTGTGTTATTATTTCTGCATTTTGGGGGATTTTTTTTTTTTTTAAATAAAACATTAGAATGGAGGTACTGGTGGTTTTTCAGATCCAAAACGCTGCACACAGCTGTGTGATGACACCAGGCTCAGCCTTTGTTGAGACCAGGTCGTGTAGCCCTCATAATTTTGGAGGTAAGTTTGAAAAAGCAAACGATGTATTTTCAAAATCCAAAGGCCTAACGAAGAGAGCTCTAAAATAATTGATTTTAAGCATCTCATGCCCCTCCTCAATCAGCCTAACATAGCAAGGAAGGAGGCTTAAAGGAATAGTTTTTAAGAATGTCTTTAGTATGTGCTCATAATGATTTGCTTTACATTTATTTAAAGTCTGTGACAGGCATTTAGACCCCTTCTTCACTCACAAATGCTGTGTGTTTGGTTTTTTCTGCTGTTTTTCCTTGACCAGAGCATCGCTGCTAGAGCAGATGATGACTCCTGCCTCCTCCATGTTCTTGACATTCATTCTTTGCTACACACTGTCACGCATCTGCTCTCTTTTGGAGGGGTTACTTCGTTCCAGTTCACCTTCACATGGTGAGCAGTGTATTTTAAATAAGCGATGTATTGCAGGGGAATAATCATTATTGCGCTTTTCCCAGCATCCTAGCTGGGTCTTTTGCACAAAAATGGCTGTTTATTCAAATTTAGCCTTAATGTATGCTAGGCTGCAGAACGTAATTGCTCACCGCACTTTCTCGTGCAGAGGAACGAGTGAAAAAGTCTCGTAAGTAGATTGCGGACTCAGTGCTGAGCTTCCTCTCAGGCAGCTAATGGGCTCGGGGTTGCTCTCTGTCAGATCAGAGTCTCTTTTTGGCACCATTATTTTTCTGCCAGCTTGACTTGAACCTAAGTGTCAGGCAGGGGTGGGAACCGCTAACCTCAGGAAACTCGCAGGAAAATAAATCCAAGTGAGCGCTT